AGTCCAGGGGCAGAATCACCTCCCTTTACAGAGCTGTTATCAGCGTGACATGTGACACTGTGGAGGTGGTGACGTCTCACACGGAGGGAGGATAGCCCCGGAGCACTCGGGCAGTGTCCCGCTCAGTGATGCCACAGCGGCCTGGGGACGTCCTGCCAACAGTCTCCTTTCCTTAAAAGGGGGAAAAAAAAAGGCAAACTCCCTGCTTTCATGATCCTTTCCCCAAACCCATCCTCCTGCTGACGCCCCAGAGAGCTGTTGCTGAATCTGAACGTCGCGAATGCACCATGAATGAACAGTTTGTGGAGTTAAAAGCCTGCTAGCCAAGCCCACAATAATTGCCAGCCCCATCCAGCATAACCCGGACAACCAACCTTGCGACACCCGGGACATCCTTCCCCGCAGAATTCAGTCTCCAGGGACATCTGTACCATACTGAGAGCCCATGGCCACCACGGCTTCTGCTAGAAGATGCCCAGGTGCTGATGCTTCATCATCCAGATGCTCAGGACACCCTGAGGAAGTTTGCTGCTAAGAGCTCTTTGGCAGTGGACCCAACTGGCTGCCCCCAACCAGTTCTTAATGGTGAAGACGGAGCAGTGTGGATGGATCCAGCAGATGGATCTGGAGGCTGTCTCCCGAGAACATTGCTCCTGTCTGACCAGCTGACTGCAGGGATTGATATTTGCCTCCCCTTTAAATGACATGTGACATTTGACTGCCAGAAATGTTAAAAATGATTGGGTCAGTGTCATGCTGCTGAAGACAACGTTATGGATGATCTGTTGTGTAATGAAAGAGAAAAGAGTCCTCCTGGAGCCTTCAGGGCGCGGGTACATGCCTGACACAGAATTTAACCCACTAATATCGGCTGGAGAGACCTCAAAAACTTTCGTGCAACGTTCAGTGCAAGCAAAAGCTCCACAAACCGAACAGCTGTAGCAAGATCAGCGCCCTGATCTGGATCTCAGCACCCCGATCTGGGCTCGGGGAGGAGGGGGAGAACCCGCAGCTACCAACAGGAACGTGCCGAGTCGACATTTCCTTCCTCTGAAGCCGACAGCTCTGTCGAGGCTGCCGCGTGTTGCTGTCACCTTAAGCGCTGCTAGCTGTGCGTTACTAGAGTTCGTTATCACAGAACCATAGCATCACTTCCATCACTTCGGTTGAAAAAGACCTTTCAGATCATCAAGTCCAATAGTAGATAATAACAACAAAGCAGACACAAAAGCAGCTGGGACCCTGAATTTTACAGTATTATGGCTACCAGAGGTACCCATTTTTAAAGCTCGCTAGGTATGGCGGCCAAAACCCCGCTGATGGGCGAAGGCAGGGAAGGATTTATGGTGGTCAGGCGATTACAGAAGTGCAGTTGTACAGAAAACCTCCTGGTCTTCAAGCACAGCAGCCAGGGTTTTCACAGAAAAAGCCCAATCAGTCAGGAGGGAGCCTGGGGTTCACCCGCTATCAGACGGCGTCGGACCTTTAGCTGGCTGAATTCGACAACGCACTCCAGAGTAAAAACCGAGCCGCCCAGTAGAAGGGGTTGTACCAAACGCTTTCGAGTTTCCAAAGCAGTGAGGGGCGTTGTTTGCTTCTTCCTTTCCTGTTTAACTGGTAAATCAACAATCTAGCAGGCACGTAGAAAACAGTTTGGGTTTTTTTTATTTCCATTAACTTGCCTAATGCTCCTCGGTTTCAGGCTCACAGGGTCAAGAAACGCCACGAAATCTGGAAGGTTTTTGGCCTGCTTTGACCAAAGCGAATGATGCCCGCCCCATTTGTAGCTTCCAACCCACCACCGCCTTTTTCAGAGTGAGATGAGAGTTTCTCTCAAGTAAGTGAGGAAGGGTAATTTCTCCCTCATCAGGGACGTGGGCATCAGGCTTCACACGCACAACCTCCACTTGACTAACAACTCCCTCTGCAGCTGCCCCATGTCCCCAGCACTGCACAGGCAGAGGAGACTCGTGGAAGGGACGCAGCACGGCCGGGCTGGGATGAAGGGGACAGTCCTGTCCCTCCTCTGCCTCGCCCCACGGCTGCGCGTTCTCCTCCCGGCTGTGCCTATCGCGACCGCGGAAGTTGAGTTGGCAAGAGTCCTCCTTGGGCGGGGTTTGGAACGACATCGCGTGATGTGCCCCTTCTTTCACCAAGCACAGATTGAAACAACCATATCTTTAACCCAATAAATAAAATAATACTCTTTTTACAGCATGTCACAGAGAACGTTGTGAAAACCTCATGCTGATGACCATGCCAAGACCCGCTGGCCAACCATCACCACGCGGCAGCTATCACGTAAAACAGACACAGCTACAGCCTGTATTTACCGTTTTAAATTCTCCTTTTTATTGTTATGCATCATAAATCTTTCGCGCAAAGTAATGAAAAGGATCCCTAAGGTGATACTTTACAGATCTGAGAGAAAACAGAGTATCAGTGACCGTGCCAGACTGCAAACTTCAGGACACTGCCAGACCCACAGAATGCTCCAACTCCTGGAAGAGCCAATGGGGCCAGCACGGATTTCAGCATAAATCTCGGTCTGGCTCTGCGCTTTTGGCTTTGGATTGTAACTCCAGCTGTTCCAAAGCAGCCGGGCCCTGGGAGCATTGCATATTAATTAAATGCACAGGGAAATTACGCGATCGGAACACACATGTCCCTTCTGTACTTCAACGTCATCACAACAAGAGGACAGCGAGAAATCACTTACCGTGCGACTCTCGCGTTGATTCAGCAGCTGCTTTGACCTGTTCTATCAGATCCCAGAATCCCAGCATGGCAGGGGTTGGAAGGGACCTCTGTGGGTCACCCAGTCCAACCCCCT